CGTAGTAAATATCGCGCGCTTATAATCATTATGAAAATAAATGTTCGCGCAACGTTACGCGAAAGTTGTAGTCTCGAGGAAAAAACTGGGAAATTATGCGAACTATTTTTCCGCTTCGCGGCACGGTCGTTGTAGCTCGTAATCGTTACAAAGAAGCGCGATCATCGAATTAATAAATGGCAGATTTCCCGATTGCGTTAATATACCGACATACTTCATAATAGTTAGGAAGAGCTAGAGGATTGTGGAATTAATAAATACGAGGACAGTTTGAGAGAGATAAATCAGTTTTTAAAAATTGTTTTCCTATTATTTTTCAATATAGTTTTTTAAAATGTCACTAACTTATCAAACTGTCCTCGTATTTATTAATCTGTCGTACATGCTTCAATCTCTTAATTGCTTACTGTGAGAAATATTTGTGATAAATGGGATACGGAGATAGCTTGCCATTAGCGAAGTTTATCTAAAAGTCGATTGATAGAATAGATTCGAGAAAGGAAGTATAGCGAAGTTCTACTTCTGCCAAAGGAATCTGGCATCGAGTTTTTCTCGAGGAAAATTTAATCTCTTGATGGCGCGATCCCATTAGATCTTTTTCATTTAAGATTGAATATATATTAGTTAAACTTTAAATAGAACAAATTTTTAACGAAAACAAAAAGCAGTCGATATTTTAATGCTTTAATAATCTCTTTTAACGGCCCTTTGTTTTATACCGGATCTTTTTTTACGACACATTTTCTGTTATCCGACGAGTGATAGTAAGCGCTTTAATTAGAACGTCTTGTATACAAACTTACAAGAGATTATGGCGGATGCAACGAGAGTTCGTCTTTTATATACCAGCTTCGGGCGATGAAAGCGGCACTTAAACGACTTTTTCGCGATACTGCAAAGATATAACACAACGAGCCTCCCAAGACAAAGCTGACGATTTAATGCGCGGTCCGCGCAGCCAACGTCGGATTATGAAAATGATTGTCGCGGAAGCAGCAGTGTGTGCGCTATAAAGAGTCGCGACTAATTGTTATGCTTCCCCTAATTCTTCGCGTAATGCGTCCCAACTCTAGCCCTGTATATCTTTATGGTAATCCAGCGTTTTAACGTCTTTTTGCCGGGTATGCTAAAGTCGTTTCTTCCTTCGGTGTCTTCGCACTACTATGGTAACAAATGCTACGAAAAGAATTAACGATCGCCCCGGCAGGTCTCTAAATATAACAGCACAAATAGTCTTTGTTGGTGACGCATTAAATATTTCATCCTTTATAGGTGAAATTATATTTTTTCCAAAAGCGTCCGAATTGCATTTTTCTAAAAAGGAAAGTAAAAATTAATTACGAAGTAATTAACAGTATTTAAAATATAATTATATTTTAAAATGCTCACAACTTTTGCATTGCATTATAAAGTATGAAGCAGATACAAGAATTAAATAACATGGATTGGGCAAAGAAAATAGATTTTATCTTTTTAAACTTTTTTGGTAATTATATAACTTTTTAAAAATGATTTGTTAATAAAAAATGTTATCGAATTGATGTTAAGAAAGAATTGAATATTAATTAATCAAAGAATAACGTTTTGTGAATAGCTTTGTATTTCAAGTATATTTTGTATATTCAGCGTGCAAGTCATTCAAACGTGAATTGCGTTCTGTTGATTTCGCTTGACCTTCCACATAAATCCAGCATCATCGTGGAATCAGGCTTTCACGAGATATCCGGAAGCACGTCATGTATTGCGCATCGTCATTGTGAAAGTCAAATAAGTTCTAGCACCGGTTTTGTTCAATGACAATCACGCTGTTATTCCATTACATCTTGCAACCACCAGTTTCTCACCGACCTTTGATTGTCATCGTATGTCAGTCACCTGTCATGCGATGATTCTATCACAGCGATTATCTTTGTGCTAAAAAAACGGAGTTACCTTTTAGTCAAGTGAGAATTTGTAAGAGAAGGGAAAAATAAAATTATAAATGAAAGCGCAATTAATCATGTAAAATCCAGAGATAAACTAAAGAGCAATTCAATAATCGAATATTTTGAGTTAAAATGACAAACAATTTATGGATTGTCAACACGGTAAATTAGTGAAATCTAGTTTATAGTCGCGTTTGTTTTTGCAATGTTAATATTATACAAATATTATTTTATTGTCGTACTTTGTAGCGTGCAATTTTACAATCTTGACATAGTCTTGGTTAAATACATATGTTGCGATGTATTTAATTTGTGTACATATATAAAGTATTCGCAAAGCACACGTACGGTATATATTTAACTAAATGGATGCATTTTGGTTATAAATAAAATAACTAACATATGCGAAGCATATTTATGAAGGCACTAATGAGTTCTTCGGGCATACGTTTCAATTTACTATGCTCTAATATTGTACATATTTATATCATCCCTTGCAAAAAAGTGTTTCCTTCATAATTAATTCGCTGCTGCATTTTGTGCGGAATATAGTAATATGGCCGAATTTATTTTCACAGAAAGCGCGTACACAAACTATTATGATATACATATTTGCCTCTTTAAAAGGAAAAAACCAAAAAACGGGTATCATCGTGTTCCAATCATAATTTATGTTTCTGCAAAAATAGATAGGATTTCTTCTTCGGTTTTACATCGAAAAGGTTTTTATGTTATATTCAAAGCAACAATTTATTTGCGCAATTCTGTTTGTGCTCATATTTCTATGGCGCATTACATCAGTTGGGAAGCGAATATTTATGAAAACGTCAATAACTTTCCTACACCTGCGTTATTTTTCAGTATTTTAATTTCCACGCTTTCAAGTTCCGTCTTTCTTGAAATGTTCGCTTTTATAATTTATTGCAATATTTTTGCGAGGCAATAATATGATTTGATATGACAGATGCGGAGCATCAAACTGCTATTAAAATTATTAGGGTATTTATTATGTTCTTATTTCATTGAGTTTTTATACTAAATTAAAGTTCCAATGTATAGACGAACACTCTAAATTTTTGAGAATGAAATTTCACTAAAAAGAAAATGATAGTTGCACTAGTCCGGCAAGTAAATTTTAATTCATTCCTTCAAGGGGGGGGAATGAATTTTCTAATCTAACAAGAACTTTAATGATTAATATCTCACTTCGTGAGAGATAAAGCTTTTTTCTGCTAGATTCCTTCATTTTGTGTAAAAACATGTTGAATGAGCCTATAATTTCGTTAAGATTGAATGTAAGGAGGCTAAACTTAACATTTATCAGAGAAATTTCAATCTCTTTTTTTGGAGAGTGAAATTATTCACTCTGCAGAGAGAGAGAGAGAGAGACTAGATTAAAAATTGACTCGCTTGGAGGGATTCTTTGCTCTCTAATGTGGGGTCTACAATAGAAATCACAGCGGTCATAGGGTCTTAAGTCATAGAAAATTGACCAATCAGAGTCGATTATTTTTCTCATATTTGATTGTGATTGATTAATTTTCTACGACTTAAGACTCTACGACCGCTACGACTTCTATTGTAAACCCCGCATAAGAGTGAAAGAATTCATTCCTATCGGATTGGCGCAACTACCACTTTTTGGGAAATTTTGGGAATGAAATTTCACTCCCAAGAATGAATGAGACTAGATACACATATATCGCTCGCTTCCGAGGTTATGACTTATTTCTGCCATGTGGCTTCTTTGTCGTAATTGAATGTCGTGTTCGACGTTGGTAAACGTCTACGTATGATATTAATCCGTTTCGTGTACTCTCCTCTGCGGAATTCGATGGCGCGAACGTCAATCTTAGTCGACTTTGATCTCGTTAAAGACGGATTTGTTACGTAAATGCCACTTGCAGGAGTGAAAGAGCATGTGTATATTTAGCACTGAATCCGTTGGTGGTGAGAAGCCACTTCGATCCATATGATGTTACATGGTTTCGTCTTGAGCTTAAGCTGTCTTTGGAGGTTCGAAGGTTTCGAACGTCATAGCTTGAAATTGTGGAAGACATCCATCATATCAGATCAATCCCGCGAGTTCATTCGCAGGGAATGGAAAACGATAAGCGTCACGATTACGAAAACTCACATTTTATTTATCGACAAGAATTATTTGGAGAGAATTTTATTTTAAATATTTAAATTATCAGAATTCTCTGAATTATTATTATAATTTCGTTGAAATATATTGACGTATACTTTCAATATAACTCGGATGTTTAAATTATTTTTTTTTTAAATCATCGATGCATGTTCTTTCGTTATCGATAATTTGTTGTCATTTTACTATAGCTGCTTTATTCTATCCATACAGTTTAAAATATACTCACATAGTAAGTACGCCTGAACTTATGGACTGACCTGACATTTCATACAAAGTATCGCTCGAGAATGATACTACACCGCGATGGAGAAATCAAGATATTTATTCTCTACGTACTTGCGTTATTTTCTTCTTTCGTGCGCGAGCAAATCGACATTCTGTATGAAGAGCTTGTACAAGCCGATATCGGCTTATATATATTTCAGTTAAAGTAATATGCCTTTTTTTATATAAATCCGGTGAGATGGTTGTGTTCGAGGATTTTAGCTCGATATTTTAGCTGTATATGTATAATAGGGTACCCCAGAATCCTTTGTCAATCCTTTGTTTCTATGCGAAACGCTGTACTTCGAACATTACAGCTACGCGAGGAATCCACCGTACTTTGCTCCATTCGACGTTGGAAAGATATTCGGCAGATCTTTCTCTAAAATAAAACTCGAAATAATTTCTCTGAAAATAGTTCCTCTAGATAAATAAGATACAGTCTTTCGTAATCGTAGTACATGCTTAAAATGCTTCGTTGTTTTGCCCCGACGATAATTCCTTTTCCTTTATTCATGTTATTACCAGATTATCGGCCTTCTGCGTAATGATCCGGAGCGAGCCGAGCCGAGGTATTATGGCACGCGAGAAACGCCGATAATTACTTTTCCAGTCTCAAAAAATTCTTCAGCATTTCACAATCACAATTTGTCTTGCAGATCCTGGACGATACGCTTGTTTCATGATGCGAGTCTGTTTAGCAAGGATGTATCCTTCGAGAGCACGAACGGACCGATATCCTTCGACACATCACATTCCTACGTTGGTACTGTTTTGGGTAAGTCAGCTTATACTTTATTTCCTCATCGATCGAAAAAGCTCAAATAGCTCTTCATACATTGCTTTAATATAAAATCAAAATGTTATGATTAAATTAATAAATAAATATACTATCTTAAAATTGACTCGAATTAAATCGAATTTCATATTTCTTCATGTAATTTATATAGAATTTTTCATCTCATTATATATACGCATTAAATTATTATCTCTCGCTACGTTATCGATGCTATTTTAATGCTGCGGCAATTTTTGTTGAAATTATTTAACGATTTGGTCGCTGTAGCTCACATTCCGCCGCGGTTATTAATTTAATATTCAATGCACTGATAACAAAAATAGTATAATTTTACGGATAACTATGATATGAACATTATCCGTTATCTCTTTCTCTTGTAATAATTATTAAAATTTTCATAATGTAGTGATTATAATATTGAATTGGTAATGGGAAATATATTTTCTCGATATTTTAATATATTTATTCTGCGCTATATAAAAGACCGATTATTCACATTGATTTAAAGATAAAGCGCAAAACGCGTGCGTTAAAGGAACTAATTACATTGGCAGATAATGCCGCAACCGAGCCGGGGACTTTGATTCGAGATTACCCTAGGATAATCTCGACAATCCGATAATCTCAAAGCTCTCTCTCTCTCTCTCTCTCTCTCTCTCTCTCTCTCTCTCTGTCTCTCTGTCTCTCTGTCCTATGCCTCGTGTCAACATCACAGAGCGGTGCACTGAGAACGCTGTTGATAGTCATTGCAGCAACCGGATCAATATTTATACACGCTCATTCTGCGTACCGGAATTACATTGCGTAAACGAGGCGTATTACCGTCATTAAGCCGGCGGCGTGGCACCGCGCGATCACGGGCAAAAGAGTAAGTAGTGTCAGCACATTTCGAGATTAGGCGTGGTATTATACGTCGACGAGCGTGCGCGTATCCACGGACAAAGTAATTAGCCGGTATCCCTCAACTTCAACTTCGTGATGGATAGCGTGCGGCCACCCTGTCCGCTATTTCGAGGCGCTTTCCGCTTCACATGTGCAGCATTCGTCGCCCCGGTAAGAGTAAGCTTCGGCGTACCTGAGGGTGCCTTGTTTAAATTCTTTGATGCATTCTATTCGTTTTCGTATTACTGATACAGGTTCTACCTGATTATAATTAAATACTGGTTGCTCCAATCGGCACGCGGTGAAATTGCAATTTGAGCACAAATGAGTTTTAATTTAATGAAGAATTGCGAACGTAAAACATGGATAATATACTGTGAAAAAAATTTATTAAATTTTAATTCATATTTTTTTTAATAGTACTAACGATTGTAAGTAAACATTTAATTACAGTAAAGAAATATTTACTCATAATAAAAATTATAGTTAAATTAATGGTTTTTGTATCAAATAAATATATATTTATATTTAATAAATATTTACTTAGAACTATTTAGACAAACATTTATTAAAATTTAGTTTTTTTTTCAGTGTACTGTTGGCAAAATTTTGTTAATAATGAACGCATTTATTATGATTATCGAATGTTACTTTTCCCCCCGTGAGCAGTTTAATCGAGGAGCATCTCCAACTTTTATAATTGTCACAATAATTCACATTTAGTTTAATATATTATTCGAATATATCTATAACATGGAAAGTAATTATTTTAATAAATTAAGCCGTACGTTATAAAACTTTGTACTTTAACTTAAATCAAAATAAGATTTTATAATATAATACTTATTTTTCTATCGATTTTTCCAAACCCACGGGATTTCAGCATGCAAACAGCGAAAATATCTGAAAACTAGAAAGTTACATTCAAAACTGATTTTTCTTATCTTTATATAGTGGTCTTTCGGGATATCCTTTATATTTTAATAAGCCAATATTCCCAAAACTACATGCATGACAAGTGAATTATGAGCAACGCACGGGGATTTATTTTGACTCCCAAAATGCATCAGAGGATTAACGCTTTGTTTAACGTCATTGTATAACCGCAGATGGTTTTCCGGCTGAATACGATTTCAGTAATTCATTGAGCACGCCCTCATTAGTTCGCGTCGCTAATGTGCCCATAAATAATTGAGTTTGTTCTGTGTTACGCGAGTCAGATACGAGAGTGTCTGGTGAAATAATCCTTCTTGATTGGTCCTTATAAAAATAATTTAATGATTTATTAGTAAGGTGTCTAGTTATATCTGTGTAATTAACTGAGTGTAGTCATTCCTTTCGAACGTAAGATGTCGCAGGAAGCTACGATTAGAAATCTTATATTCTTCAACTTTACGAGTGTGGGAAAAGACTTGATTGGACGCTTTATACGTTGGTAATTTTCAATATGAAACATCCTGATAATTTTAAACTTTAAAGAAAAAGTTTGTTAAAGTAAGGTTGACATCAAATTAATCAGAGTAAAAGCTTCTTTTTGCCACGTAGATTATTAAATTTCGTATCCTCTGTTTAATTAAACTCCTTTGCGTTTCGATTGTTTTTAATATCTTTTTACTAAACTGTACTGTTCACAATAAGTAAAAGATGTTTCCGAGCTATTACAGTTCTTTTTCATTTCTTACCAGGAAGACATTTTAGATTCTACAATATAGGTTTTTATAATAATACTTAGCGTACTATAATAACAACGTCAATTCCTAGTAATAATTTCCTTTGTTAAATATAAGCAATCTGAATTGGTAAATTATTTTTACCAATTTTTTTACAAGAATTTCTTATATAATAGAAAAAATAATGTCTGCTAACAATATAAAGATGCAATAATTCATCTATTTTGAATTAGGTAACATACATTATCACTTAGGTACTTCCTTCATAGTAAAAGAAATTAAGGTTTAATAAATAATGATAAACCAGTAATAATAAAGGAAGTAATAATAACAGGGGTAAGCTCTCACGGAAGACTGAAAAAGAGTCGGTCAGATCGATCGGCGACGCCCTGCACGCCCAACCAGTATCAAATATTCCCCTCGTAACTTTCCGCGACTCTCGTCGCAACCCGGAGCGATCGAGAAATAAATTTCGCGTTCGAACGAGCGTATCTCGAAGCGGGTCGCGTGCGCCTCGCCGCGAACGCATCGGAATGCGCGACGTACAATGGACGGAAATGCTGGTTGCGCCGTCCTCGATTTCAATTCGAAATTATTTGAGAGCCGCGCGCGTGAATCGCACGAGGTACTGTTTGGCGCATTGCGAAGAGAACGAGAGAGGCCATTGCGCCCGAATTTGCAAAAAAGCTTGGAATTTCGCATGTGAATTCAGAATGGATTCCTCCGTTGTTATTTCGCGCGTTTCTTTCGCATTTTCAATGATAACATAGTTATAATATATTATTTTTTAATCATATTGCCTGTGATTGCGCGACGATTTTTTTCTTTTTTCAATAAATAATCGTCAGTGAATATTATGTTGTAAACGATTTTTGTCGCGCTCTGTCGCTGATTTTTCGTGGATCATATTATCCAATTGACATTTCCGGATACATTCACGTTATTTTGCTCTCGTCGTTACATTAAACTGGGGATCTCATTTCGTCATAGCCATCGCCGTTGTCGTAGTTTCTCGTCGTTTGGAAACGTGCCAGATTCCCCTATTGGAGATACACTGCGCGGTTACTGTACCGGAGGGGTCACGAATAAGGGGTTAGTACAGACCATAGACTTTCGGTGGGAAATAAGCGTCTGTCCATGGTTGTGACTAGAAACATTGGAACCACGGATTTAAGGAGCGATAGATTTGCAAGTCTTTTTTGTTATGAGAATCTCTTTATACACACAATATTTGCGAATTGCAATCGTTTTCGTTACACTGTTAAAACTACAGTGTCAAATTTAACCTAATTTGAATCGCCACTGTTTCTATTCAATACATCGTTATTTTATCTATTTTTAGTATAAAATAACGATATATTGAGAAACAATGAAAAATTAAATTAGATTAAATTTGACACTATAATTTTAACAGTGTACAATATATAATAAAGTTTTGATGTCTGTTTTTACATATTTTTGTTTTAATAATTATACGCTCTGTGAAAATAAGTATACCGTCTATGGTTGTGACTGAAATCATTGGATTTAAGGACCGAAGGATTTTTATAAATCAGTCTTTTTTTTCGTAGCGAGAATCTCTTCAATTTTCGCGAATCGCAATCATTTGTGTTATAGTATATAATAAAACTTTGATGTCTATTTTTACAAATTTTTATTCTAATAATTATGCATCCAGAAAATAATCAAGTGAATACTAAATAACCGGTAATTTTGTTTGCTTGTTTTTACATGCAAAAGAGATTTGTCTTATCTTTTTTATACATGGAGATATTTTCTTTGATATTAAAAATAATATATTGTATATGTAAGAGAAATAATATTTTCTATTTTTATAGATAAATAAAAGTATCATTTAGCTTTCAATTAAGCATGGAATGTTAGAATAAATCAAATTTTTACACACGTTTAACTTATAAATGTCATTTTAGATATTACGATTTTGCATTCGAATTGATCCAAATTACGAGAGTTGCGACATTATCAGCTATCTAAACTTTGATTATGAATTAAAAAAAATTTCCTCGTAAGAATTAATGGTTAAATTGACAGAAACGTAGGTACGGCATTGTTCGAATCGATGATGGTTGATACTAGTGCATCGTCCGAGCTCCGTAAGCGTTTCCGCAGGAACCAGGCGGCGGACACATACATCGAACAATAGAAGCAGAGGGTGTGTGAGAAAGAGAGAAGCAGAGAGAGAGAGAGAGAGAGAGAGAAGGGTCCGCGTGGTACCTATAATTTCGGCGTACGGCGAACTAAACGTAACCGCAAGCTCGCGAACGGACCAGAAACTTGATCGTGCATGCGGCCCCATCACTTCGCCGGATCGTGAATCGTGAACGAGACCGTCGTCGACGTCGTTTCAGCGATCGGGATTGCGGGGAAGTTGAACCCAACCGTAATAGCGTCTTGCCGTGGGTAATA